TATATATAATATATATATATATATAATATATAATACATATATTATGTATTATATAATGCATCACATTCATCATCAGAACATTTCAAGCTCTATCCTGAAGTACAGTGCTGTCAGTTATAGGATAATATCCATATGCATACAAGGAAGACCAGTTTAATATGACAATTATTCAAATTTATGCACCAACCACAGAAGAAATTGAAGGTTTTTACCAACTCTTGCAGTCTGATATTGCTCAAGCATGCAATCAAGATTCATTGATAATTACTGGTAATTGGAATGCAAAAGTTGGAAATAAAGAAGGATCAGTAGTTCGAAAATATGGCCTTGGTGATATAAATGATGCTAGAGATTACATGATAGAATTTTGCAAGACCAACACCTTATTTGTTGCAAAAAGCTTTTTTCAACAACATAAATGGCAACTATACATTTGGACCTCTCCAGATGGAATACATAGGAGTCAAGTCAACTACATTTGTGGAAGGACATGATGGAGAAACTCAGTATCAATGCTCAGAACAAGGCCAGGGGTTGACTGTGCAACAGATCATCAATTGCTCATAGCAAGTTTAAGCTGAAGCTGAAGAAAATTTAAACAAGTCCACAAGAACCAAAACAAGACCTTGAGTATATCCCACCTGAATTCAGAGACCATCTTAAGAATAAATTTAATGCATTGAACACCAGTGACTGAAGACTAGATGAGTTGTGGGATAACATCAAGGATATCCTACATGAAGAAGGCAAATGATCATTAAAAAGGTAGAGAAAAAAAGAAAAGACCAAAGTGGATGTCAGAACAGACTCTGAAACTTGCTCTTGAGCATAGAATAGCTAAAGCAAATGGAAGAAATGATGAAATAAAAGCTGAACAGAAGATTTCAAAGGATGGCTTAGAAGACAAAGTATTATAATGAAAAGTGCAAAGACCTGAAGTTAATAAGCCAAAAGGAAGAACACACTCAGCATTTCTCAAGCTTAAAGAACTAAAGAAATATTCAAGCCTGGAAAGGAATATTGAAGAATTCTATGGGCAAAATATTGAATGACACAGGAAGTATCAGAAGAAGATGGAAGGAATACACAGAGTAAGTGTGTCAAAAAGAATTGTTTGACATTCAGGTATTTCAGGAGGTAGCATATGATCAATAACCACGATAATGAAGGGAAAAATACAAGCTGCACTGAAAACATTGGCAAAAAGTATTCAGGAATTGACTGAATACCTGTTGAGATGTTTCAATGAACAGATGCAACACTGGAAGCACTTACTTGTCTGTGCCAAGAAATTTGGAAGACAGCTACCTGGTCAGCTGATTGGAATGTGCCCATTGCAAAGAAATGTGATCCAACAGCATGTGAAAATGATTGAACAATGTCACTAATATCACATGCAAATGAAGTTTGCTGAAGATAATTGAAAAATGGTTGCAGAAGTGCATCAACAGGGAATTACCAGAAATTCAGACCAGATTCAGAAGAGGATATGGGATGAGGAATATCATTGCTGATGTCTGATGGATATTGGCTGAAAGCTGAGAATGCCAGAAAGATGTTTATCTGTGTTTTGTTGACTCTGCAAAGGCATTCGATTGTATGGACCATAAGAAATTATAGATAACATTGCAAAGACTTGGAATTCCAGAGCATTTAATTGCATTCATGAGGAACCTGTACATAGACCAAGAGGCAGTTATTCGAACAGAACAAGGGGATACTACATGGTTTGAAATTAGGAAAGATGTGTGTCAGTATTGTATACATTCACAATACTTATTCGTTGTGTATACTGAGCAGATAATCTGAGAAAATGGACTATATGAAGAAGAATGCAGCATCAGGATTGGAGGAAGGTTCATTAACAACCTTTGGTATGTAGATGATACAACCTTGCTTTCTGAAAGCAAAGAGGACTTGAGGCACTGATGATGATCAAAGACTATAGCCTTCAGTATGGATTACACCTCACCATAAAGAAAACAAAAATCCTCACAACTGGACCAATAAACAACATCATGATAAATGGAGAAAAGATTGAAATGGTCAGGGATTTAATTTTACTTGGACCCACTGTCAGCACCAATGGAAGAGCAGTCAAGAACTCAAACAAAATATTACATTGGACAAATCTGCTGGAAATGAGCTCTTTAAGGTGTTGAAGAGTAAAGATGTTGCTGTGAAGAGTAAGGTGTGCCTGCTTGAAGCCTTGGTATCTTCATTCACCTCATATGCATGTGAAAGCTGGACAAGAATAAGGAAGGCCACAGAAGAACTGATACATTTGAACTATGGTGTTGACAAAGAATATTTAATATACCATGGATTCCAGAAGAGCGAACAAAATCTATCTTGGAAGAAGTATAGCTGGAATGTTCTTTAGAAGAGAAGATGGCTAGACTTTGTCTCTTGTACTTTGGTAATACTAATAGGAGGGACCAGTCTCTGGAGAAAAGAACATTATACTTGGTAAAGTAGAGGGTCAGCAAAAAAGAGGAAGACACTCAATAAGATGGATTGACACAGTAGCTGCAAAAATGTGCTCAAACATAGCAACTGTTGTGAGGATGCTGCAGGACCAGGCATTGTTTCATTCTGTTGTACACAGAGTCACTATGAGTTGGAACTGACTCAATGGAACCTAACAATAACAAAAACAACATATATATGTATGTGTACATACAGCACCAGGGATCCAAGTAAGCAGAGGGACCCAGGTCCCACCCCCAAGAGTCAGAAAAGCGGGGGAAAGAAGAAGCCAGGGGGACAACAGAGCAGAGCAGTGCCAGGGTCTAGGTAAGAGGAGGGACCCAGGCCCCACCCTCAAGAGGCAGGAAAGTGGAGGCAAAGAGAAGCCAGGGAGATGACAGAGCAAGCAGCAGCAGGGATCCAGGTAAGGGGAGGGCAGAGAGTTTTTGAACAGCTAAGGGAGACAAACTTGTCTGTCAGTTTGTCCTACTGTGGTGGCTTGTATGTTGCTGTGAGGCTTGAGGCTGTGTCACTGGTGTATCAAATTCCAGTAGGGTTATGCATGGTGCACAGGTTTCAACGCATCTTACAGACTGAGACAGACTAGGAAGAAGGAAGAGGCCATCCACTTCTCAAAGAATTGGCCAGAGAAAACCTTATGAATAGCAGAGAAACACTGCTGATACATTACTGCACAGCTTTATGAATACCCTGGAAACATTGTCCAATACAATGCAGGAGAATGAGCCCCTTTGGTCAGAAAGCTCTCAAAATATGACTGGGAAAGAGCTGCTTCATCAGAGTAGAACCAGCTTTACTGATATGGATAAAGTAAAGCTTTTGAGACCTCCATTTGCTGACATGGCGTGACTTAAATAGAGGAGAAACAGCTGCAAATATCCATTAATAATCAGAACATAGAATGTGCAAAGTATGAATCTAGGAAAATTGGAAGTTGTCAAAAATGAAATGGAACACATAAAGATAGATATCCTAGGCATTAGTGAGCTGAAATGGACCAGTTTTGGCCATTTTGAATCAGACAACCATATGATCTACTATGCCAGGAATGACAATTT